TTCCACATTTCAATGAACCATCTCTTTAAGACATAAGCAAGGCCTGTACAATAGGGGTCTCTTTAGGCCTGTCTTCACTATCTCGAGATTGCCAAATATCCAGCTATTTGAACTATCCCAATCGCAAACTATCCAGCTAATTTGCGTCTTCCTCAGACCGAAGTAGCAATTAGCGGGATATTTGGTCGGGATTGTCGTCCCAAGATATATTGGGACAGTTTGCAAAATATCCCACTATTTGGCAAAAAATCCAGCTATTTGTCCGGTGCGTCTTCACCAGACCGAAGATTCGCAATATGCGCTAACGCTGAGCAAAATATCTCGAGCTAATTTCTCAAGGTTGAGTTTCAAGTTTCGAGGTCGAATCTCGAGCTGATGAGGACGCGATTTGTAACTTCATAATTATTTCCCAAATCAGAAAAAGCGGGCTATTTGGCAATCTCGAGATGATGAAGACGCGCCTATTGTTCCCATCTTTGTTTCACCAGTGGCATATACCAGAGAGGTGGTCTGTACATAAACAAAGTGACAATTCAAAGAGGGGTTCAACAATTCAAAGAGGGGCTCAACAATTTAAATAGGAGTTCAACAATTTAAGTTGATATTCATAGGAGATCTCTAAATAGGAAGATATTCATATCTACAGAAAGCTTATAAGCCATAAAATGACCTTGAATTACGTTCAAACAATATAACACTTCCGTAAAAGCGAAATTTGGGTGAAAACGTCACCCTATTCTCTGGGACAAATTCGCCCTATTTTCATCAGAATCGGCCTTAAGCTGTGACGCCGGAAAAGGGAGGCGTGGCTTGTGGGCCACTTCCGGGTCGCTGTGTCGTGCAGTAAGCCTGCATATATGGGGATTTGGGAGTCGGTGATTTTTACCACAATTGCACAATGAAGTTTCACTTTGACATATGCAGACAAAGAATTTACCTCTTCCACTATGGAAAAAACAGTTAATGGTGATTAAATTATTATTATGAATAAAATAAAATTCAAACTAATCGAAGAATATTTCATGGATATAGATTTGCTGAAAAAATAGAGCGATTCTGCTGTTGTTACGATTCATCCGCGAGAAGTGCGGGTCTTGGCAGCCGCAATAGCTATACCCCTGATTGAACGTCCCGGTAGTCGTAGTATCGCTGGCTGATTTACATTACCTGCGCCCACATCAAAACAAACGTAAACGTACATTCGCTTGGCGTTCGCGTACGATCTACTATTTACTATCGAGATCAATTATTTTGCTAGGATTTGTGGCTAAATTTATTCATTACAATTAATTGTATACTTCGAAGTCCATTAAAATGCTGTTTTGTACAAATTCTTCATTCATGTCGAAATTTCAGCCATAATTCTAGTGCAACATCGTGTATGTAGAAAACTTCGAATTTAGCGCGAATGACGGAACTACTTTCACAATAACACTGCACTGCACACACAGTAATCATTTGCATTTCGCGATAGACGAAACCCTTACAAAACTAAACCAAACCAAAACAAAACAGAGAGAAATACACTACCGTATTTGCCGGCGTAAAGCCCGCAGTATTTTTGGAAGAGAAAATATCAAATAGTTGGGGTGCGGCCTTTACGGCGAAAGAGTAAAAAAAAATTTAAAAAAGAAAGTCAAAACCAGCACGAATGTGCACATATGGGACTACGAACGGTAAAATAACTATACCACTATGGTACAGGACATTTCCACACATCTTACCGACAATTTTATCTTTCATTGTTGACATGAAGACAAAAATAAACGTCCTAATACAACATTTGCCGATAGATCTTGATCTAAGTTCGTGCCAATGCATTGCAAAAGTAAAGGAAGGGACCGTTTAACAGAGCTGCTGCGAACATCCATCCGAAGTCGCCATTTTGTTATCCATTTCATGCAGTTTCGCATTACACTGTACATTGTGGTAGGGGTATATATCGGACACCAAATCTGCCTGCGATCACTTTTTTAGCTAAACTTCCGGTAAATTATAAGAATATTGATGAATTTGGTATCAGTTTGTAAAAAAAAAAGAGTGTTTTCAAGAAAATTATGATTATTTTGTTTTGTCCGTTTGTCGTTTCCCCCCCCCCCTTTTTTTTTTTTTTTTCCTCTTTGAAATGTCAAAGTTGGGGTGCGGCCTATGCGGCGGTGCGACCTTATCGCCGGCAAATACGGTATTCTATGTAACTATAGTTTTCTTCTGAAAATGGAGAAGAAACATTATTCACTGTTATGTCTCAGGAAATTCCACCTCAGAACATGATTCTACTAAAGGTAATTTTGTTTTGAAACACAGCTAGGTTGGTTTTTCATACTACTATATCGTACTAACAGCACAGCTGGCAAGCTAAAGCCGGTGAAAAAATTAAGTTGTAAACAGTTATTTTACGGATATTGTCACTTTTTCAATGCCAATAATTACATGAATATTGACATAAGAATATGTTTCAGGACGGGAGAGGACAACTGTATGTCAGATATTGATCATTCAGGCAATATTAAATCGTTTTGAGAGAGTGGAACTGACATCCACTCTAATCTATGAACATTTGCATGTAGATCGCAGTTAATGTAGTCTCTGTAGCAGCGTGAAGCATATCCCGGTTCTGACGTCACGCACAAAGCCACTTCCCTTAGCCGATTTCATAGGTCCGGAGAGAGTCAATTTAGTGAAATTTGATTTTTATAAAACACTAAATTGCCCACTTTCATGGCATGTTAGCTGCATAAATTGCTTTAAAGAGAAGGTTGAGTTCTGGGAAGAGGTGAAAAATAATTTGTGAGCGTTACCATTCTTATTATGCAAGTGTGGAAGAACATCAGATAAGACATGTTCCCTGAAAAGCATGGCTCTTCAAATGCCTTCATATTCTAAATATGTCATGAAACATCGTAAAAATCCAGGGTAGGATTTTTACGCCACGTGTTCGTGTAGTCCCATATACATCTTTCTGTGTACAGTGTTTGTAACTTTACCAAGACTTGGCCAAATTTCTTGTCATTTTGATGATTCCAGAACCTTGCAATACACACAAATTATTATATGCTAGATGATCAACCTTTTCTGGTCGATTCCACACCGTTTCTTTCACAATGCAATCGCATGACCAGGACTCAACTTCATCTTTAATAACTCATTCAATAATAAAATAAACTATATTTAATTGATTTTATTTCCTATAAGTATCAACTTTAAAGTAATATAAGCTTACTCAAAAATAGAATATAGATTTACTCAAAAATAGAATATACGTTGTTAATAAACAGGGTCTGAAATATATAATTGGACTTGTTCATTTATGTCATTTTATGTTTTTGCTAATATTTGTGATACTTTTTTAATGGAATGTGGAAAACAAAACTTGAAATAGAATTCATATTAGTTGAAAGATGGCAAGACAATAAGAAATCTGTGCTGCTGTAATTGCTTTAATTTCTCCTAAAGTAGAATATTAAACATGTTTTTGAGTCATTTTTATTATTCCATAGTGTGATCCATCATCCCAATGTATTAGCGTACAAAAGAGTACCCGGTACACTTACATGTATCTGTTGATATATTTGCGTTATTCTTAGTTTATCATAAGGAAACCTTGTACATTTGCATCATGAATATATTCGTTGAAATTTTAAGAAGGGAGAAATCTTATTATTCATATTAAATACATCAATGTCCTTTTGTAACACTGAATCATTGTCTCCAGAAACCCATTCTCCAAGTTATCATGGTGGAAGATCATTAGCAGGGAAGAAAGTAACTACCCTACTTAGACGAGTCGCCATGGTTTCAGTCACGTTTAGGAGGATGAGATAGAAAAGAAATCTTGAGGCATATCGATCATGATATCTCTAGGATTTCAGCCAAGGACATTGCCGCAATTATCATGGCTTTAGTGATGCAGTTTCCATGGTAACACCGTATGATGATGCCCCACTTATGTAGATTTCCACAAAAGGGAGGATACTGATTATGTAACAAACAATCTCCCATATCTCTTCCTATCCATAGTCCATCTTGAGTTTAATACTGACTAACATAGCTCTGGTACAATGCAAGTACATTTCATATTTTTGTCTTTTAAACAGTTGATACCGCAAATACAAATAGACACTTTCTTTGCATTCGGATAAAACTGATAAATCAATTAAGCAGTAAGCCTTACTCACTGAATGTATTGAAATCATGTCAAGTCAGGTGAAATGTCCACCATGACAAAACACATGTACCGGTAATGATGAAAAAAATGCAAGATAGATACAACAAAGATACAACAAAGTAAAAAGGGTGTGATATCTGCTTTTACAATGTTTGCTCTGGGTTCAATTTCATCTAAGAGGTTGCCATATTGCTAACTGTTATGAATGGGTTAATAGTAGTCCTAGGATTAGGTGTAGTGTATAGTATGATGGTCCAGAGTTGCAGTTAGGAAAGTGTGACCGGTTAAGGACGTTCCCTGTAATGTGTGTGCGTCACTTAGCTGCACAGTATGTATTTACTATATATGCACAATACCAGGAACTTCAAGCATTGTAGATGGTGAATACCTAACCAGCTGGCCCTGAGCAGCTAAGGTGAGCACGAAAATAACACTGACAGCCAAGCAATTACCAATAGAGCATATCGTATGCTGAGTCACAGAAGGCTGTTAACTGATACAATTATTATTATTTTATTATTGTTTTATTTGGCAAATCAAGTCACATAAATACAACAACATAACAAACACGAATTGAGACAAAATCAATAGAAAACATATATAAATATTGCAATAGCAGGTGCATCCGGTCAAACTGCCCGAATATGGAAAAAGTTAACCGCAGACTTTCCTCCCCACACCTGACCAGATGCACCAGATAGTGATTGAAATAAAGCTTTAAAAAGAAAAGAAAGATGAGGAGAAGGGGGGAAAATAGGAGAAAAGGGAGAAGAAAAAAAGAAGCTACACCGTGGTTTCTCTGAGTAGATGATGTATTTTACAATCATTTCCTTACCACATCTGGGAATGTCACACTTCTCTGCCCTGACGTCCGGGTTGGTCGTGAAGCACCAGGGTTTGTCCAGACCGTTGCCAGGGTTACGGCAGAAGTTATGACCTCCAGCGAGTTCTCGGTAGTGAGAAGGCCACAGGGCATGCTCATGAGGCTGATAGAAGGAGAAGTAGAAAGTGGTAAGGTGTAATGACCTAAAAGATAAAAAACCACTAACAACTACCTTTTAAAACGGTTAACATGTAGTTTGGACTGTTAGTAAAATGTTGTAGGTTGTGTTAATTTCCTTCTTTCTTGTTTCCCTTTGAGTGGAATGTTGTTTGGATCAAGGGAACAATTTTCTTGGTGAGTCAATTCCAATCAATTGATTTACAGTTTGCTAAGAATGCCTTTTTGCTTTAACCTTTACATTTTTAACATATATTATCAAAAGATGAAACAGCACCTTCAAATCTATAAACAATATGTACAAGAAGTAACAGGAAAAGTTGGTTTAATTTCTTTCTTTCACTACTAAACTGAGCACTTCGACAAGATTTGTGACTCATGGCGTACAGAGAATTTAAGCTTTAAATCTGATCGTGTACCTCTTGCTTATCCCACGACTGACAGGCAAATCCTGATTTGGTTGTGTTGATTCTGCCTCGGTAATCTTCTCCTGTATCGTTGTAACACTTGTGATCTAATAAACAAGAGAGGGATGGAGAAAAATGTTTAATTAAACTAGAGAGAGGAGGGATGAAAAGGGAGAGGAAAAGAGAGAGGGAGGGGGACATGGAGGGTGTGAGTATTCGTGAGTGGGAGTGAGAGAGAGTGAGAGACAGAGACAGAGACAGAGAGAGGAGAGAGTGAGAGACAGAGAGAGGGGAGAGAGAGGAAAGAGAGAAAGAGAAAGAGAGGTGAAAGAGGGGAAGAAGGTGAGAGAGATAAAGAGAAAAAGAAAGAAAGAAAGTGAGAAAAATAGAGACAGAAAGAGAGAGCAAAAGAGAGAGAGAGAGAGAGAAATGAAGAAAGAGAGATATAGGCACAATATAACACAGAAAGCAACAGAATGAGGCTTAAACATGAAAACTGAGACAGGTAAAGCCAGACTGAGTGAGATCGTCTTAGTGAGTTATACAGAGAGGCAGGAAGCGGAGGGTAATTGGACACATAGAAAGTGAAAGATGAAACAGATACAGTCTAAGGAATATGCCAGATGAATAATGAGATACTACACGCAGAACACCCAAGGATTTTGAAGAATAGACATGTGTAGATAGAGTGTAGATTAAATAGGTAAAATTAATCATTTATGAATACACTGTTTCCCACAAAGTTGGAATATATTTTCTTACCTCTTTTAATAATAATGTGATTGTGAGAAAAATGGTTTATTCTTGATAGATAAAGTTAATATCTTCACATATTGAACAATCTCTTTGACTCTTTAGATTGATCAATTCAGTTACGAGGAGACATGTAACCTTTATCTAACAAGAATAAACTATACTGTCACAATGATGTCATGAAAAGAGGTAGGAAAAAATCATTCCAACTTTATTGGCAACAGTCATGTATGTGTACATGAATGAGAGGAGTATAGAAACAGACAAGGATGAAGAGATAGACAAAGAGAAAACATGAAGTGTGGAGAGACATCAAAAGTATAGGTTCATGCATGGTACAAAACACAATTAGAATTACACTAAAGGTATCACACTTTACAATGCATAAATCTATTATCTAATTCAAGAAGAAGAAAAAAAAAAGCTTTTCTCCATCAAGAAAATGTGGTTAAATTGGCCTACAACATTTAACAAGTCAATATAAGGAGCCATATTGGAATACGGGACTATTCTTTTGGACTTTGACGCATATCAACTTACAGAGTTCTTGGTGCAGTGTTGAACTTATTGAACTTATGGTGGTTTTAATTTAAACGCAAGATAAACAAATCAACCAGGTTCCTAATGGGAAATTAATTGTGGTATTAGCCAAACAATAGTCACCCTTTGGTCATCAGTGGGAGGTTGTTTGCTTTAGTTTCTAAGATGGCAAACATCATCAGTCCCACTATATGTAAATCTATGTCAGTGAGGCAGGTGAAGTTTGCACAGTGTCTCTGTACTGACCTAGTGTCAATACTGAGAACAAGTATTGCTCTACATGGACTTGACAAGGTCAATTAGGACTGGTACTTGAAAGAGAGATCTGATGCTAGTGATGAATCATAATAATAACTGAATAAACGCAATGACAGCTTCTAACATCAAAGTGGTTAAACATGTAAAATGAATCTATGCTCCCATTTCAATTGATCTATATGCCATTGAACCGAAAAGGAGACTGTTAGTTAAAGAATAAAAATAATAATAAAAAAAAGTGCTTATAAAGAGCTTCCCACCAAAGTCTCTAAACAACTTGAGGGAGAGATCTACTGAAATTTCTTGGTACCAATTTTTTTTTTTAAATTAGACTTGACAGAATTTTTGTTCTCACCATGCTCACTTATAACAACATTTCCTTCAGCGAAGACACTGAATCTAAACATGGCATACATGCAGAGTAACAGAATTAAAATAAATTACGATACCTGTGACTGCGGCGACATCTGGTAGGCCCACACGTATGCAGTTAGCGTTTGCATTGGTACCGATAGCTGGTAACCTCGAGCAATCCGGTAAGATCACATTGGGCATCTCCTTGGCGATCTGGTACTCCGTCTTGCAGATATCCTGCTCCAGGATCTCACACTCGTCCCTGCAAAGCTCCCTCCCGCGAGGCTCCTGCCTCGTCTCGTCGCAGAACGGGAACGCGAAGAAGCAGAGGGACGGGATGGCGTACTGCTGACACTGCGGGCTGAGGTCACGGGCCATCAGCAGGAAGGCTTGGGTCAGACGCTCATCGATGAGCTTCTGAGCTTGGAAGTCGGTCACGTAGATGGAGTGGTTGCTGATGAAGTTGGAGCATGTCATCCCTCGATATGGCTGACAGTAACCTTGGGATGGACTAGAGAGGGGGTGATAATAAAAGATGTAACAATAAAGGATAGTTTCGTAGTATCACTAAACTAGAAAAAAATTCTTTTTAACAACACTTATTGTACAACAATCAGTGGTTTTAGAGTCATGTTGCTACATGTATACGATAATCAAAGCTTTCATTACATTTTTGTTGTCCTTTTAATTTAACAGCCCTGGGTTGTGATAGGCATCAGCAAAAAAAATGCCTTGTCTAAATAAGGATTCAAATTCTCAATGTTTTGATTTGAAAATCAAGTTAATGAACCATGATGATGATGGGTGAGATTCAAAGCATTATTAAAAACAGTTCACCAAACCTTCATTTCTGTAATAATCATAAATTATCTCTACTGAAAATTTAAATGTTATAACTGCATTTAATGAATTGGCAGTATATCAATGGATAAATGAGCATGGTTTGAACATAGAAATTAAAAACTGTTCTATTCTAGACCAGACTTCAGTCATTACTACAATGTTAACTAAATAAAACAATCAAATCACTTACATAGCAGCTACAGGCCGAGTAGTTTCGCTTGCTGTAGATTTAGGAAAAAAGAAAAGAAAAGAATCATTTTAGATTACAGGTAGAAAGAAAAGTATTATTTCTCTAAAACATTTCCATTACATTTCTTCAATAATTTATACCTTCCACAAATCTGGACATTGATTTTAGTTGAGTGTGCATACAAACCGAGGTAAAGTGTAAGCATGGACATACATGTACATATGAACTACAAGTATGTACTTTCCCTTGAAAAAATTTATACTGTATTTGCAGTTATACAATGAAACTTAATTAACACTCAAATTCAATTTTCAAATAAGCAGTATTGAAAGTGATTGGAAAAAAGTAGTATTCAGCCTTTCTTCATCATTTCTATTTATTCCTTCTGCATTACCATTGTGCATTCAAAGCATATCACAGTGCAAGTTCATTTGCGCCTGATAAGGCTTCTGGAGTTCTTTAAATGCACTGTTAAACAGTTTCCCCAATCTTAATTCAATCTCTTCACCACACATTTCAGGCAGTGGGAAAAATAAACATTCCAGGTAATCTACCCTCAAAATCAGATTACAATATTTTTCACAGTTTTTCTGATCAATCTGCGGTTATTCTATTACTTCCTTTTATGGAGCAAACTTATTTCTTCGTTGGTAAACGGCTCACAAGGATTATTGGTGTGCAAACACGAAGGGACGGATCCAGTTACATCCAACTCAAATACATTAAGGTCTCAAAAAGGTGTTATTTGCATGGTTAAAATGTTTGTATTCTGAACATGGTACAAAAAGCCATGGAAATTTGGACAAACAGAGGCTGCCCCCGTGTACGAGGGGTAGAGGAGCTGAATGCTGAAGTGACTACAAAGTGGACGGTACTAAAGATCCTTTACCTCTGTGTTCACATTGATGCATACATGGTGTACCTTTGGGAAGCTATTGTGATAGAATTACAAAATAATAAGAGAATTTACAATTGTACAGCACATGAACGCTACTCAAAGCATAGTCACAGGGCCAAGTACCGTAAAATCAAAAACTACTGTGTGCAAGAAGCTTTCGTGAATTAATTGCATTCTCCAGATCCATGAAAGTTTCATACCATGAAATTAATCAATTTCAACTTTCAAGACTAGATGTTTTTTAAAGCTATCTAATCTATGTAAGTTTCTTGCAGCAAAGACTAGCTACTTAAAATTCATAGGTACTTGCATGTGAAGGTGCTATCAGAGCCTAGCATTTGATTGTATGTAAAGCCACTGCTATCTATTATTAAAAAATGTAAATCACAGGTATTAGAGACGAGACAACTAGGAAAGGGAAACTCCCTTGGATAAGCTGACAATGTCTCTATTAACAGTGTGCTATCTCAGTAATACACAGCAGTCTCACCATGCAGTATTATTATACTGTCATTTCCTTTTAATATTCATTAAATGCACCAATAGGAAGGAGATAACATGCAGTTATTAGGAGTAGCACATCAGTGTACATTGTATTCTCAATTTAAAACTATGTATATCACATTTCAATGGTCATAACAAAGAGAAAGATTGTAATTCATTTATGAGATGGCAAATGAAGACCGATGTGAACAGTAAGGGAAAAGAGTATGCAATGAAACAGCCATATGTATGCACACAGTGGAAACAATGAAAGGCAATTGAAAGTAAGGAACATGGAACACTTATATACATGTATGAATGCAGTTGAAACACTGATTTGAGGGCAAAGACTGTATAGTTGAAACACTGTGTGTTACAGTTTATAGGGTATCAACGTGTGCTGATTGTGGGAAGATTTTCTAATAGGGTACACCATATGAAGCATCCATGTATGAACACAACAGAAACACTGATCAGAGTGTAAGGTGCATGGAGCACCTGTATATGAACGCAGTTAAGACACTGCATGTTACAGGGTATCAATGTATGAAGAAGGTTTTCTCAGGGTATAGCTTAAAGAGCACCCATATATGAACAGATTTGAAACGCTGATCTGAGGTCAAACATATGGAACACCCATGTATGAACAGCTTTGTAATGTTGATCTGAGGGTGAAGCGTATATGGAGCATCTACGTATGAACAGGGTAAAAAACACTGATCTGAATTAAAGCTTGAGGAGCACCCATGTATGAACAGGACAGAGACACTGATCTGAATTAAAGCTCGAGGAGCACCCAATGTATGAACACGGCAGAAATGCTGATCTGAGGTAAAGCGTATAGAGCATCTACGTATGAAGAGGGTTGAAACACCGATCTGAATTAAAGCTCGAGGGGCACCCATGTATGAACAGGGCAGAAACGCTGATCTGAGGTAAAGCGTATAGAGCATCTACGTATGAAGAGGGTTGAAACACCGATCTGAATTAAAGCTCGAGGGGCACCCATGTATGAACAGGGCAGAAACGCTGATCTGAGGTAAAGCATATAGAGCATCTACGTATGAAGAGGGTTGAAACACCGATCTGAATTAAAGCTTGAGAGGCAACCATGTATGAACAGGGCAGAAACGCTGATCTGAGGTAAAGCGTATGTTATGAAGCACCTTCTCAACCTTCTCTGTCAATTGACTCAGCTGTCACCGTATTGACTCATCTCGCCTGCCAATCGCTATGAATACTTGAGCAAATACAACCATTTCTCAAACCCAATTCTGCGGCTACCGGTTTTTCTAGAAATATTCAGATGCCAGCTCCAAACACTCTCTCTTTCCGCTTCTACTTGATAGAAATTCTTGAGTTCGATTTGGAAGTTCTAGTTTTCCTTCCACAATCTTACAAAATTACAAATATGTTTAAAACACATTCTACAGACTTAAATGAATGTAGGGAAATAAAAGGATTGAATCTGAATATTGCATTCAGGGCAGGAATGTTTTCAAACAGATAACTTGATCAGATTTATCTCTTCAAAGAATCAAAACTGTAAATTTTCTCCTATTGCTATATTTTTCTAACTATAGTAAAAAGTTTTTAACATGACTGACTTGTAAGGAAATGCAGTGATTTCAAACTATGTTACCAATCCACAAATTATAACAACTATTTTCCTTTCATTATATTATCTGGCATTAAATGTCATACTGGAAGATAAAGAAAAAGGACTACAAAGAATGATGATGTTTGATCCCTTTCTGCTCTTGGATCAGATATATTATACCAGGCTCTGTAAAGGGCAAAATTCCAGGATGATTATGAACATTTTCAACATAAGCGAGAGTACACGCAGAGGTCAATCTATTTTATGTTTGCCCTTTACTGTGGACTCACCATTTATTATTTTTAAGACACCATACAGAGAAAGTCATATTCCCTCATCCACGTATAGGCTATTAGTGAAATGCGATATGCTTGTCCATAATTTATCGCAGTCTTGAGCAAAATTGTGTGTTCGAGCGCACGATGCCGCATGCACGTCTGTTCCTTTGTGAAGCTGTGCATTAAGAGAGCGATTATTTGCAGAAAAGTGTGATATTGCTCGGTTTGTATTTGACGAGTTCAAAAGGGTCACCGGCTAAATATTTGCCCACGTCGGAGCTCCAACTGCCAAATTTTCTTCTCCAATCCTTTCTAAAATAAATGGTGGAGAGGGAAATATGATGGAAAGTTTGTCTCTAAATGATAATATGACAGGATGGATTTGCAATCTGTCAAATTAAAGTGTAGTAGTCCCACATATTGACGAATTGGATCCCTCTATATTGCATACGTATAAGCTCTGATTATACTTTCAAAGCGCGTAGAAACAAATGACATGGACTTGTACCCAAGAAAGGGTACCTCATTGAACAATTCTGTTGTTCCTTATCATTCCATATACAAAGGAAAGGAAAAGGAATTTATGCTTTGAACCCAGCAAATGTCAAGTTCTCATATTTTCTTAATCTCCATTTTATATATACAATGTATCTGTACATCATCACCAAAATATACAAATAGAATGCTTGCCAAAGAACTGCCCAGTATATGAATTACTAATGTACGCAAGCTCAATTCTGACTTCCACAAAAAAATTCATTGTTAAAAAGCTAGTGCAAAAGCATTTGTATCTCAGCATTTTGGGGGGACAGAAGCAGCATAAATTTTAATACTTTTTGTGAAGTGATATTTGGCGGAACCTCTAATCCTTTACTTACCAATCCTAGCAAAGAGGATACCCATTGTAGATCTCACTCCAGCCCTGTTCTCTGCCACGCACTTGTAGTACCCTGTATCGGTGGTGTCTACGTTCCTGATGCTGAGTTTTGAACCCCATTCATACTCCTTGGTTGTTATCCTCCGGTCTCTCCGCTCCTCTGTGAGTAGGGCGTCGTTCTTATACCACTTGTAGTGGGGCGTGGGATCGCCGATGATGCGACACCTCAGCGTAGCTTTGTCACCGGTGTGGAGTTCGGTCTCGTTGTTCATAGGTCTTTCCATGATGATGAAATAACGAGCTCTGTCATCGTTAATAAAATTTAAATCAGATAAATATATTAATTGACAATAATTCACAGAGCTGATTTATACTCAAATAATTTCATATTCCATGAACTTCAATATACATGAAGGACTATACAGGTTAATTCTCATTGGAATTATTAGTGCATTTAAATTAAACAGACCTCTACAAAGTAGACTAGTAATTTGATAAAAACTATAAATATATAAAAGGCATGTGGTAATAAAAAATGATAACCTTGTCCATACAATAAGTATTATTACAGGGTTGCCAACTTTTTGTAACTGTTAAATCTTGTTGAACAGTTCAGCTTTGATTAATGGGTGGGAAATGTACAGCTTGTGAATAACTTTGCAGATGAACCTGTAACAGCTACTTGCATAATATGATACATGATTGCATCTTATGTTGTTGTATACATGTATATTGGATCAACAACTGACAAATCTTTTATATACTTACGTTGGCACTCCAAACGGGGTGATTGTGGCAACTACAGAAATTAAGAAAAAAAGTGAAATAAGACAAATTATGCCAATATAAAATCATTTCAAGAAATATCCATCAGTCATTAGGAGTAACCCAATAGTATATTTGTAAAGCGCTTAGAGACGTTTGTATTAAGCGCTATATAAAAATTAAATATTATTATTATTATTATTCAGTACTAGTAGCATATAACAATTATTGTGATTTATTATTGGTAACAAGTTTTTATGACACAGGGCCCAGATGCACATGTACATGTAGATAAATATGAGCATCTCTGTATACCTCACTCAATTTGAGCATTGTTTCTTCTCCACTGTCAAGAAGCATGCCATTTACGGCTGTTAAAGCATAAGAGTCATGCTAGAATCTCCTTGACCATGATGAACGGTGTACAGTTACATTTTTTTCTATGCCACTGATCTCAGATTTGGATCAAACGTGAAATGGGTGAAATGGGAGAGACTACCTTGAGGCACATAGCGCACCTCTTAATGCATCAAGATGGCGGAAATAAGAAAGACTGCTTGTTTTTCTCATATATCATTCCAAATCAATACAGCCCCAAGATTGGGATGAGTTTAGAGAGATGCATAATTGCGGATTTTAAGTTCTAAATCACTATCTCAAGCTGTTTATCTAAAGAAAAGCAACCTTTTAGTGGAAATTGAGTGGATATCAGATGATAAATATTACATGGCTGCCATTGATACATATCTCCTACACAGATCAGTAATGGCATTAAGAATGGAATCAGTATGCTGTAATGAATACAGAATAGACATGCAATTGAAGGTATACTAAATTTAAAATGCACCAGATAACCTCATATAACCATGGTTACTAGGGTATGTAAAATACTGGCCTACATCTACATGTACACACCTGTCAGAAATTATATTCAGTTCTTTTATCAATTAAATATTATCCCAAATATTGAAATGAATACTTTATTTATGCTTTTTTTGCTATCCATATACTCATGAATTCTATCACAATAATAAATTTAATACAAAATTTTTCCTCATATCCCTCTCATAATTGAATTTGTTATTCTACAGTGTAAGATTGTTGTCTAAAGAATAAAATCAATAATACCAATATAACTTTTTATAATTGATAGATAATTTCTTAATCTATCTCTGCTCTCTGTCTACATCACTAGTAGTAATGGGATCTTGAGTGATATAAAATACTGGATATGTATGTCAAACAAGAATTATAACATCCCTTATGTGTTATTAAGAGTAATCCACCTTGATTTGCCCACTATAGTAATATGAAATAAATTTAATAGGCCATTTTTGCAATGTAACCAAATTTCTGCATATGGCTTTGTGAGGCGCCTCGATAACAATGATTTCATTCACCTGTTACAAATAAATGTATCTCAATAGTCAGATTTCAAATTGCATACATGAGTTGTTGCTAGGTAGGACAAACATCATGGCTTGCCCTACCTAACTAAATGTAATATTTGCAATTTGTATTCGGACTATTGAAATACAATAATTTGTAATGGGTGAATAAAATAATTTTTATCGAGGCACTCAAGCATAAATTTGGTTACATTACAAAAATGGTCTATCAATTACCTCCACTTTCTGACATGCCCATTCTGAGGCATGAATTCTCAGAGTTGGCGCCGGCAACTGCGCCGGGCAGCGGCAAATCTGTGCAAATTGGCAACATATCGACGAGCCCCAGCTCCGGCTGAGCGTCCACATAGTCCACCAGGGAGGAGCAGATCTCTGTGGTTAGCAGACGACACTCGTCATAGCACATCCTATGGACGGCCAAGCGAGGGCGCTCTCTGCAGAGTGGGAAGGCTGTCAGGCACATGGATGGCTTGAGGTACTTGGTGCAGCGTTGGTTGAGTGTGATCGGTAGATCGTTGTTGATCTGTTGAATGGCAGCACCTAGAGCAGCCTCGATGTCTGCTTGGGTTTGTCCAGCCGGGATGTAGACCTGACTGTTAGCTATGTGCGGACTGCATACGCTGCCTCTGTAGGGCTCACACTGAGGCTCATCCACACTCATCTCATCTAAGTAATCACTGCAAAAATAAAATAAAAATAAATATCATCATAATGACATCAGCCATGACAAAACGTAGGGTATAAGTCCAAGGTATTTGGTCCTTTTGTGTTCCACTCATTCATTACGGGATAGCAAGGGGTACTGAACAGAATCAACATATAAAAGCAACATTATCCTGATTATTTCATCTGGTCCAAGCTTTAGTAGGGCCATAAAATTGACAAAATCCTAAATAAATGCTAAATGATGTGATGTAGTCAGTAATATCAGGGGGAAATAACTTGGACTAACTTTAAAATTAAAAAACTTCAGCAAAGTCCACTTTCATAAACGGCACCATTTAATATTTTCTTTGTTCAAAACTGATCTACAACGTCATTATCACTTGACGAGATGCTGGAGTTCACATTCTCACCTTATCTCTATAAGCCATACATCAAGTGTTATTTCAAGAGGAAAATAGCAACATGAACGGCAACGCTGATTTGATTTCATCCTGTGATCTATTTCCTTGAAATGCCCTCCTCTTAAAACAGGAAGTCCTTACACATGAAAAGTTCAAGCGACAGTCAAGTCAGATAAAACGTGAAAATGTGCATCGGAGGTGCATTCCCATTATCCACCCATGAGAGAAGAGGGAAGTGGTATTTATTAGGTCGTCACATCACTCCGGTGTGCTTGGCTAACTCGTCTTCTTCCCGCTCCAGTTACACTCCCTCTATCAGGGGGCCATGAATAGATAATATCTCTCAAAGATGATCAAGTCATTCCCTCCCAACGCTCGGCACGCATTCATCCAGTCTGTGTTCTCTCATTTTAAAGCTTACTTGGTAAACTGGGGCAGATTAAAGATGGGTATCGTCTTCTAAGTCTTTATGATTGACCATAAGCTGCTTAATCTCAATAACCAACCCATTTCAGGCCATATCTGTTTTTGCTTTAGGGCGACCAGTAAGGAGCATAATATTGAAATGTTGTGATGTACACCATCCTAGATTGAAAAGGTCATAGTATTGCCTCTTGCATACAAGAAATTCTTTATAAAACCCATCCTTTGTGTTTCATGTTAGTCTCTCCATAAAAACTGCTAAAGGAACCTATTCAACAATAAACAGATAACAGAAAAAGTGAATTTAAGGGAAAGGGAAAGGGAAAGACAAATGAATGAAATTCATATCATCGTATCTACAACTCAGTTTCAAGATTTTAAAAAACTTTTGAATTTTTTATGTTGCCCCAATAGGAATGGCACAACAGGACACTTATCTTGCTGTTAATAAATCTGTGAGGATTCATACAAGCTTGGCAAAACAACATCAGGATCATTCAGCATGTACATGTAATGACATCTACTGATCTACTGAAGATATTAAGTCATTTTCCAAATCATTTCAATGGTTTGAGATTTAAACAAACGAATTTGACTTTCTCTGTGTCTGGCTAGTCTGACAATATATATTAAGTTCCTGCATTCACATTTGTAATAATGTCTTTGCATAAAATGTATACAAAGACTGTGTAGGCTTCCCCAATAAAAATTTGAATATATGAATGACAGCTCTCTACGATATCACTGATGGGGTGTGAAGCATTGCTCTGGAGGGCTACATGTATTACTTGAAACACTTATTTCATGCAAATCAGCAACATATGGGGAGCATTGAGAATACACTTGAAGGGAAATTGACCCTTTCTTAACAGCATGTTTCAACAACAACCATTGACATCCTGCACTCAATCTAAATATAGACAGCGATAATGCACCACGCTTTACAAATAGTTTCCTGGAACTCAAATGTCTGTAGAGGCTCAGGGAGGATGGAAATCAAAGTCATGGAAATCAAAGTCATATAAACATCTCTCCGAAAAATACAGATGATTACAGGGTGATACAGGCATGGTAAAACAAGCTGAAATAGATTGCTAAATTCCTCATACAAAATATGAAAACAACATGCGTAAGACCAATATCTGATAGGTGCTTATCTAACTAAAAAGTTAACAAGGCATGGACAGGGCCAAAGAAATGAAGTTTTAATAGTTTCGAGTCTAAATGCCCTTTAAATTAAATACAATTTTAATGTCATCTAGGAAACAGAAGGGTGTTGATACTATGTATTTAGTATAAACCCACTTCTAGGTCTATGTAGACAGTTATCATAATGCAGTGTACACTTGAAAGTCATGGTAGGACACATGAAAACAAATGTTGAAGGATGATCAAAAAAAAAAAGTGAAAATGTTGGGGGAAAAGGTGAGAATATACAATTCCAGAGAGAGAAAAGAGGAAGAGCTTAAAGGATAAATTACTAAGTATATCATTAACTTGGTATAAAAAGAGTGTACTGTGTTCTATGAAATATGCAGGAGGGTTATAGAATTAAAGACTACAGAATATCCAAGAATATGTGACTGAGATAGAGATAGAAAAAAGTGAGATATGTACAAAAAGATGGTTTCAGGAATGTACAAATTGCCGACAAGGAAACTCAAGAAAGTGTGGCGGTCTTTCTTGAAGGAGAGCGAGTTGCTAGCCAAGTGGAATTACATCAAGAATTCATAGGTTTGATCACCGGCACTGCCCCATCAATGTCATAAATGATTCATGAAACCCTACTCCCAAGATAGCCACCAATCAATACATTCTAGACACGGGAGACGGAATGGAGATGATCGAACGACTCATCTCCCAAAACGCGGTTTGGCAGGAACCGCTGAGATCCCCAAATCCTTGTTTGATACAAAAGTGATAATCGATTCGTGCACGGGACATCTTGAGCCCAGCCTCCATCGTGACGTATGCCAAGATTGCCTGTATGACTGGAATATGAAGAGTGTGAGATATTACTAGCAAAGGAAATATGACAAGGAAGATGTGATAGAGACAGAGCACATGATAAAGGGGGAGAATCTTCAACCCCCCCCCCCCCTATTCTCACCCCATACCCAGAAGAAAACTATCAAAGAGAAATGCTATTAAATATGAGAACGAGTGGGGGCTAGTTAAACTCTAATAAATGAATTATATATCTCTATATGATTATGATAGTAACATGATAATGATGATGATGATGACGATTATAATGATGACGATGATGATGATGAAGATGAAGATGATGACGACGATGATGATGTTGATGGCGGTGATGATGATAATGATGATAAAAATGAAGAAGGTGACTGTTATGATTATGATCCTGGTAAAAGTGTTGATGATGATGATGAATCACGTTGATGCTGTATATTTATGAGGAAAAAATTTATGAGGAAGGCAATTATGATGATCATGATCATAAATATGTAGTGACAAATCAAGGAAAAGAATAGTGGGAGCCCATTTCATGATGAACAAGGGTCCACAGTGAGAAAAGTTTTTACAACCAACAAAAGTGTGGGAGTTAGCTTCAACTTCAACTCTCAAGGAACGAGCATAAGATGCCGTAGGACAAATTGCACATGATCATTAGACCTTTCTCCCAGCCCACGCAGCAAAGTGCTATCACGATTGCGGAAGACAACCTCAATATTTGTACGTGCATGCGCATGCAAGTAAATGAAGTCTAAATAGACGTGGCAAATAAGGAGAAAGCGAGTCTAATTGCCTTAAACAACAGATGCCCACAAGACCTCATGCCCCTGACCGCTTGAAGACGATCTTCAAATGGAGGAGACAGAATCGGGCGACAACGGAAGAATGTCTTATTAGGTTCCAGAGTCCAGGCAAACATGATGAAGCTTGGCAAGGTACGTCGCAATTGATGAATCCCCTGTCTTGTGACAAATGGAAAACCTACACGCAAAGTTTGGGTTCCGGGGGAGGGGTCCTCAGAAAAGAGAGAAAATGGGCAAAGAAGTTCACTGTACTAGCTGTTTATTGGCTGGAGTATTACATAGTGTATAAATGTGAAGTGATCATGGTTTTGTAATGTCACTCTAGCCGGTTACTGCATACCTTCATGTATAGGTAGCTCCTCTGTGAGGTTCAGTTATAATGGGGACGGAAAGAGCCAACCACACTTGGCGAGAAGGAAAAAAGATGCGGTAGGGAGATGGCAAAGAGAAAGAAGGCAGAATTTAGTTTGGTAGACGAAGAAAAAGTTATTGAAGTATTGAAAGAGGAGGGAAAATTACTATGGATGTAAAATACAACCATAGTCTATATAAAATCTTTAAAAATACACTTTCTCAATTGTGTTGATGTATCTGTCACATAAAACTAATACTTCTTACAAAATCAGTGTGTTTTATCAATAAACCCTGTATTTGTGTCACAACTTCTCATGAGTACCAGCTTGACAAAGCCCATATTTTGCGCACCATTGCCCCAGACTTGACAAAGAGGGAAAATCAAATTCTTGTGTCAGAACAAGTTCAAGTAGCTATCACGTATCTTCCATGTATCCACCTGTTCTCATATATCTTCTTCACTACTGCAGGAAGCATGTTTATGGTAACACAATATTGGTGAAACCCTCCCCCTGTTCCAGCATCCATTTCTCTGTGATGATCATGATTACAATTATGCTGAAATATACAAAAAATGTGTGACTTAATGTAGTATCTAATTTATTATTTAGTATTTTTTATGTATTGAGTGTGGCAGGAAGACTATGACAATTAATGATACACTATGAACAAAATATGAAGAAAAAAAATTGAAATCAAATGTATGGATCTTCCTTTGCAATGTGGATTATTACTTGATATGTGAAAAATAAATTATAAAGTGGGAAACAACCTCTCATCAATGAAGCCAATCCATTTCTATCCAAGGAGGTGGGCAAAAATATGCAAGCAAATATAACAAATTGATAAAGAAAAGTATAATAAGGAAAAGCGAACATGATAACTTGATGTTAACTGAGACAACAGATTGAATGAGGGGGGGGGGGGGGTTATAAAGAAGAACAAGACAAAGACATAACAGAAGATGTCTATCTTTCACACACATCCCAATGACAGGCATCTGTGTGTTCTACACATATAATGTATGTGTATCAATCCTCCACAGGTATACTCTCTGGGTAGACTCCCAAGCAACAGCTTTTAGCTGAGCTGTCTTGTCCAAGGAGCAGTAACCTTAGCACCTCGGCCGTAGCTACTTTAGCATTCATTATGACTTATGCAACACGTGAATCATCCCTCTTCACCTTGCTACAAGATGATGGGAGGCTAACTGTCAATCAGAAGCCTATGATAATAAGGCATGTTGAGAGACAGAAGGGTGTTAACTCTGTGTTGAGGTATGTGAGTTAAGGTCCTTCTGGGTCCAAACAGACGAATTATCATTTGTTGAAAGCCAGAAGGTTGTTAAATCAGTGTTGACGTATACGTATTAAAGGTAATACAAAGTTTTGGTATGGGGTCATGAATTTGGTTCAAATTAACATATTGGAAGCATATACGATCCTACAATATTCAGTGATCGTTTTCGCGGTCGAAACACTTTATGTTGAATTGCTCCCTCTCAAGGTCAAGATATTAATTAAGCTATAAAACAATGTTTTTTGACTAAAATCGACCGATTAGCTATTCTTGTTTGGAAATTATATCACAACTACATACTCTGAGATTTTCATGGTCGCAGCTACAATTGTACGGCCGTAGGAGCTATTTAAAATTAATCAACATTTACCGGGAGTACCGGTAAATCTTTATATTCAATTTTTCTCGAAAGCAGAAGTGTTTTAGGGGCTAACATTTCTGGTATTTTTAATACATCCACAGGGGCATCCAAGTATATCAAAATTGTAAAGAATCACTATCAACCCATTTTTCAAAATGTCCCAAAACTTTGTAATACCTTTAAGGTCCTTCTGGTTCCAAACAGACAATTTCATCTTTAAGAGCCTGAAGGGCATTAATAACCCAGTCACACCCAAAAGATCAACGTCAGACCCACTAAAGACAGAACAAACAAAACATCATGTAACCCCAAATGCTGAAAATTGGTCAGTTTGGCACCTTTGGTAAATTCATATACTCTCTTGCTTTTCCCTAATTAATCTTAAATTTCATCAACCTGAAAAATCACTTCCAAATCCTTCAACCCCCCCCCCCCCTTTCTTCCTCTCTCTCTCTCTCTCTCTCTCTCTCTCTCTTTGTACGTGCATGCTTCCCTCTCACATCCACATCCCGGCCCTTGCTTCCACTCTTCCTCTCCCTCCCTCTCTCTACCACTCGCATCACCCACCGCTTCAAGATGGAGCAGGTGGCATGATTTCATGGTAATTGGCAGATCTGGGTCTTACTTTAGAACAAAGATGCTGCCCCAAATTGGAAGAACAAAATTAGGCCAATACCAGTGATTCAAGAAAGGGGGTCATCATAATGGTGCTATGAAAACTGGATCACAAAAGACATCAACAGAACAAACAGGAAACGTCCCTTGATTTCAGCTGCCCTGAGTATTATTCCATTTATTTCATTTGAGATCATTAAAGATCAAAGGGCTACAGACCCAGTGAGGATTGGGATAATGGGGAAACAGAAAAAAGAGTGAGAGAAGGGGGAGATTAGAGAGAAAATTTTAATCAATGACCATTAATCAGAATCAATATGGATGTTGGACGTGACATCATCCCCCTACCCCCCCCCCCCCCCCCCCCCCCCACTCACTTCAATATTTTATGTTTGGACATTTTGAATTCTTATAGGCTGTCACCATATAGATAGACAAAAATGATGACCAATATAACATTAATGTGAATCGAAAAACCCAACAGACAGACAAATAGACAAACAAACACAACAGTCAACTTACCTGACACTACTCTCACTGTATGTAGGTGAATCTGTAAATTTATAGACAAGTCAGAAGACAGAGGGGTGAAACAAAAGAGAGAGAGAGAGAGAGAGAGAGAGGGGTGGTAGAGAGGGGGAGAATAAAGGAAAGGAAAAAGAAAGAGAGTAATAATTAATATTGTATTAAAAAGATTTTTGTTTTTTTCTTCAATAAAATAAAGCTAACAGTAAAGAAATATAATTCAATATGAATAAACTGACAACTTAGTTCTGAGATGGGAACTTGCAATAATAATACTAGTAGCCCCAAGGCAAGTCCAGTACTCAGAATTCTCTGCAGGTATTCAGGAGCCCCAGGCCCCAGGTCAGTCTGTGTAAGACCACTCTACTGGTCAAGGTAGTGACCATTCAACATGACCATGGACATGGATCACCTAAATAATAACAATGGTTCTGCTCGCATCATCACATGTGATTTCTTTCTCCGATAGTTCCTACAAAAACTGAGCATACAACATCAACGGAGCAGCCAATGCTGGGGGAGGGGGTGGCACATGCTCTGAACAACTTCTTGCTATTTTCCCCCATCAATTTACACAAAATATACATATTACTCACATTGTCTAACAAAATGTACAATTAACTATTCTGCAAAATACTTCACTGTGGAGTCTTCTGATACATTCATGAATTGATAGACAGTAAAGACAGCACTTTCCTTTCCTTGACATCCTTTCTACAAGTATATATTAATAACATTTTTAAAAACTAAGGATTATCATCAATTTACTCTTGTCAGAGTCTTTGTCTCTGTGCCTCAAGAGATACGGAACATCTGCGATCCATCTTCACCCTAACTCCTCCACAAGACATACATTAGCTGCATTTACAAGTTGCAACCAAAACTTGTTGATTTTTTTCTCATTCCGGTGTTTCGCCGATAGTTGCTACCGGCGAAACACAGGAAGGAGAGAAAAATCGATATCGAAAGATCCACCTCTGGAGTGTAGTTTTTTTTTAAACGCCTGCCAAAGCTTCATCAATTTTTGCAGTGTAAATGCAAACTTTGGAAGGATACCGATTTTAGCTCTCCTCGCTTCTGTGCTACCGCATGCAGGGCACTGATGTGTGTCGCATGTGCCCTTCTCAGTTCTCACCAAAAAATTGGTATGAGCAAACTTCAACGTTTTTTTTAATGGGTTTTCCCACTTGTGTAAATCATAGTTTTACAAAAATTGATGATTTTTCAAAATGGTGTTTGGGATGTGTAAATGGGCCTATTATTTAAACCTTCAAATTCAGGACAATTTTCTTGTAATTTACTCTTGTAATTTCCAGTCAGGGTATATTACTTAATTAATCAGATACCGGTATATGCACTTTGGAGAGCAGTTCTAACATTCTGGATCAGAACGAGTCCATTAAAAACTAAGGGTACCATATTTCTGAAAATGACTAAAGATGTTCATGATTGAACTGAAAACACCCCAAACCAACCATGATTCTTTCAAAGTTATCATGTGGAAATCATCTCATATGACAGCACCAAAGAGGGATGGAAACAGGAAGCAATTCATGCAGAAAAGGGTTGTCCTCAAGACTAAGGTCAAAGGTTGAGTATCTAAAGGTCATCTCTACACTAGGAGTGGGTGAGGACATATTTATCATACGCTGACATTGCCAGTTGACTGGTAATCTAGGCAAAGGTTTGAGGATGATAAAAAGGGAAAGTATGTATTTAAAAGAGGCTGATTCTCACTGACTCCATGCAAGGTTCTGCTGACAAAATCTCTTCTAAAGTGAAGTTCACATGACAGTCCATTAAGTTAACTTTAAGTTCATGTTTTGTTTTAAACTTCAAAGTTATCTTGTACTTAATAGGGACTATGTGGACGCACTCATGATTATGAAAATTTAAGTATAATTAAAGTTAAAGAATCACGAGCTATCTTATGATTAGCGTAATAAATACGAGCAGCAAGAAGTCCCCACTCAAAGTTATTAGCCATGCGGTCCGGACGCAATTAACTTCAATATTATGCCAGCTTGTAGTTATAATGACCGATTGCCAAGCTCGTAGTTTAAAACTTTGACTGCTTGTTGTTTCGCTTCCTTGTGACCCTGTCGTTGTTAGTGGATTGCTGTTTTATAACTTAAAATTCGCAAACTTAAAGTTTAAAACTTGATGGCCCGTATATACATAGCTTTAAGTAAACTGACAATGGTTGAAAGGTGCTTTGATCTACATAATCTATCTGACACATATACTTGAAGAAAGTGTGATGGAAATCTTTGTGACCTCATATTCTCTACCAATTTTGAATTTAATGTTAAAAAATATGGACATAAATGGCTGTAATTACCGGCACAAAAGTTCCATTTTGTAATGATGCACTTATGCCACAACCTTAATCAACCGAAATAGCAAATTTTCGCAGCCCTCATTTCTATTTTTGTTGGAATAACTCTCAGAATATAGCATTCTACTTCTTTTTTTTTTTTTTAACTTTTTTTTTTATTTATCTCAATTATTAGCGGCAAAATTCAATCACAAAAGTCAAGATGTAATATCAAATCGGTCCAGCTCCCTTGAAGAAAAAAATATAATCCTTTCAAGGTCAAAATGGAGCTCCAATGTCAGGTTCAATGAATAGGCAATCACTCTTTGTGTGGTCCTAAACATTACGAGAGGGAAATGTTCCCCTATAGCTGCCAGATGGCCCTAAACTAAAGACAGGGCATCACAATGCCAAATATCTGCTAGAATTGTTTCTACGGAGACTAACCCATCCCACGTCTATGAGGAATTCAGTCTACATTCTGGGATTAGATAGCAACATAAACTGAAGCCCACATGCAAAATAGCATGCATTCTTTCTGACTGAATAATTTCCACTGGAGTGATAACAAAAACTTGTTAATTTCGTTGCCAAACACAGAAACTTGGTTTACCATATGGAATTGTAAAGGCAAGCAGAGGATAAAATTGTCCAATCAGATATTAATCAATTTGCATGTGATCCCTGCATAACTTGATGATTTCTTGATCTGTTTGGCATACACATGTAGGTGGTAGGCCTCTATCTACTAGTAGGCCTAATTACATGAACCTTTCATTCAACATTTAGCCTTTGTCGGTGGGTTTTTTAATCAGAAATAGGCCTAGGTACATTATCTGCTCCTGAATAAAACTGCTATTAAAAAGCCAAATACACAAAAATTACTTTTAAAAACATCCTCTTTTTGTTCCAAAGGGTCAATAACTCAAAATCCTATGAGGGTCGAGATTAAGGTTACCCCTCAAGTCTTTCCATACCCTGGGGGTTAACATTTCTTCATCCTAATACACAATGTTCATGGCTGGCAGGAACATGTGGAGATAATCCTTGCGATAAAGTCGAACACCTTCATGAAAGGCTTGCCTCTTTGATTGAGAAAATACCAGAAATCCTACGACCACAATCCATCTAAAGCTTCAATTCAGAACTCCAAAGTCATCACACCCTTTTACCACAAATCCTACCGACCAACTCCGCACCCCTAGACTGACCTGGGCATACCAGGTATAGAATATGGAGAGGAAGGGGGTGGAAGGAGGGGAAAGGGGGTGGAAGGAGGGGAATGGGGATAATATAGCATCATTCTTTGTGTTCAGGCAAGAAAGACGTATGCAGACATATTCAACCTCCAACAAGATGTCTATATTTCAGGGTTCAAAATTAGCTGTTGCTTTGGATGCTAATCAGCTGTTGCTCCGATGCCAATGACCACCTAAAATACTACCAAGCGATCCAACAGTCCTGCTTGTGTTGCCTGACAGGCAACTTTACAAATTTCACTGTTGTTATTAGCTCATGAATAAATTAAAATTCACTGCAAATGACTACCAAAAGGGAATCTTAGCAGGCAACTGTCTGGGATTTCCCGCTGGTTACCAAATAAAAAGTTGAATGAGAGCCCTGTATGGGGGATGGAGGGGGATGGAGGGAGTTGGAGGGGGGGGGGGGGCTCCACCCCTTTACCCACAGTGTCTGTACCCCTGAGCAATGTTAGTATGTTTCAAACTGATAAGAGACTGATCATAATCAATGAATTTCTTCTCTTTCTCCCCATGACCTCATGTGCTACTCTTTCAATTGGCTACATCAAGTTCCAGATGTTGCTACAGAGTATGGCCGCTAGAGAGGGAGGTACCTTACCCTTCATTTAGACTCCCACAATTCAATGTATAGATATAGGATAAGAAGTTCAATTTTTCTGTTGTTTCAAGGAACGTTGATATAGCAAAACGTCCGTTTAAGCAGCGTTTCAAACAAAAACTTAAAAAAGTATCAGCACGTACCTCACTCTAGTCCGAACGTCATAACGTACAAAAACGTATAGCTGGGCGGGGCTTATCGTGCACTGATGATTGGTCAACTGCCATGTGAATTTATCTCTTCAATGCTAGTTTCATACAATTCTTTAGACGATGTTGTATTCTAGTCTGTACACTCCTTCTGCTAATACTGCTATACAACAATTCTTTACACGACGTTTCTTTAGACGAGTTTGGTATAACTTTCCTTTAGTGTGAACGGATTAAGAGAGAGGTAACTCAGTAGGGAGATCAGTCCTAGCTGGAGGCGTGTGGTTGAATGCAAAAGTCACTGTTCCCACTTTACATTATCCACTCAAAAATGCATCAAAACCCAAAATTAATTTAAACATTTGGCACATGGAAATCAAAGTCAATACTACATGAATATATTTTTCCAAAGCTTTCAGGAATACTGCTTACCGTTTACCAGTAGTGTATCTTGTGAATCTGTAAAGATTACCAGGAAGCATTTCCGAAGTTGTAATTTGTGTAACTACTTACTCACTGTACTAGCTCAAAAACTTGATTTTCTAAATTTGAATAGTTCTGATAAATTCTGTTAAAATCCATAGGGAATCATTACAAGAAACAGATTTGTACATGTTTCAAACTTTCAATACTAATTCAAATTTTTCAAAACGGGATGTCACAAATTTCAGAGTTGTCGATGTGGAAAATCAACAGGAACAT